AGTTTTCAAAAAATCATGTTGCCCATCGTAATCTACACTCGATTCTGTATATAATATGTGAATTTGGGACAATTTCATTGTCTATCGGCTACGCTAGATCAAAAATAAAAAAGTTTCCAAACTTTTGACCGCTACTGTATGTATGCCGCCATTTTGCACCTCATCGGACATTGTGGCAACTATGTATGCCACACCCATTACATTTATTTTTTGCGCACATGCCCGATTTCTTCCCAAGTTTTTTGTGTTCATTTTATAGGCCATACACAACATAACCAAGAACCACGCGGCTTACAGAATGACCAAATATTCTTTAGTTTGGCAGAGGTTTTTCGGACCGGACGAAAATATCCGTTCAGTTCATTCCTCATTTTCTCTTCATTAACACGAACATGTAGATAAAAAAGAATATTAGAAGTGAATACAAAACGTCGTGTGGCAAGATATGTGTTTTTACTGAAACAACCACGTCCAAAGTAATTTTGAACCACTAAAGCGAATTACTAAAGCGGGCAAAATTGCCTTTCTCGTGGCCTTAACACGTCATTTTGGTCTAACTTCCATTACAGTTACTCCCGATAAATAGACAGATCGAACATTATTGAAAACACTTGGTCGCATCTAAGTATTGCGTATTTACAGCTCAAAATCCATGGATTTGGTGTGCGGCGGCGGCGCTCGCAAAATCGCTCTGGTCCCACGGTGCAAAAACCCAAAACGCGCGATGTCGTCAACGTGTTAAGACCCAGGAAGAAAGTGGCTAGCTAGGGAGGTGTATTGAGAAGCCACTGGTGGGTGAGTCGTTTGTCGAGGTGGTGTCGGGGTTGGAAATATAATAGGAAATCCCCGTTGCTCCTTTCTATATCAGAGCTCATAGTGGTGGGCATCATACTGCGCTTTTTGTTCCATACTATACATATGATAGAGCATCTATGTGGAGAATTATTCCATCAAAAACGATTCAGCAAAAATCGCGCAATTTTGCGACAACAAATAGATGTTTGGCAATTTTGTATAACTTTTGAAAGTATTCAAATACTGTGTAATAGTTACTATAGTGTATAGTTTCTAGGGCGGAAGTGGTGTAGTGGCAAGTGGCGCGCTTACCACGCGAGCGGTCCGGGGATCAAATCCTGGGTCGTGAGTCGCCCGGGCCAACCAAGCCTTCCATCCCTCCGGGGTCGGTTAATTGGTACCAGACTGTAGGAAAAACTGACTTGTACATCGGCTGGCCCCCGCAAGTCATTGTATAGGCCACATCGCATTCAAATTGCCACTTTGATCTGGAATGGAAGTAGAATGCGTGGCGCATCCCAAAACGAGGTGATCAACGCCGAATGCTTCATCCTCTCTTATCTTCATATTTTCTAGTAGTTATATTAATAGCTATAGTTGTTTTTATACTGTACAATGTTTAGTTTTGGTGTGGTC